GCCAATGATTAAATAATTTGTATATTTTATAGGGCTAGACTAATCGTATCCTCTAGATTGTCAAATAAACCCCTACCTAGTAATTTTATTTCTACACATATTAATATCAAATTTCACTTTTTACATTACCAATACATGGATCAACCTGATTTTAACATTAAAAAGATACAAATAACAATCCTTTTTATAACAAAAATCAAGCATGACATAACACTAAAAATTTTCTTAATAAGAAATTATTCTCTACACATTCAGTAATCATTACCATACCATAATTCATAATTAAAAATCATGTATCACTTAAAAATCACAGAATTACAGTGGAACAATATTATTTATATTTTTATATCAGAATTAAGTCAATTTATTCATTGGGAATGTAAAAAGTAAGTATTCATATTAATGTGTGTATGAAAATAATTCATAGGTACAGTCATATGGATGCATTTAGCGATACAAACAGGGTGCATTTAACACACTCCATAAAGTATTGGATGGTCGAATAATCACAAAAGAAATCACAACAAATACACATTTATATTTAATGACTAGTTTAATCGAATGTTTCAAGTTTTTTGAGTAAAGAAAACCTTATTAATATATTCTCGGAAGTCGTATTCAGTTTTGGTATTCTTATAGGATATAGGATAGTTTCCTTGATCTTTAAAAAAAGTTATACGCCTAGAAAAACTTGAATTACACCACCTCCAAACTATCAAAATGTTCTGCTTTAATGATATGATTGGCTTATTCACACAACTCTTTTAGACTGTTTACTTGCGACTTATACACATGAAAGGTGACTTAATCGGACAAATAGAGATATGTTACATTGTCCTAATTCAGCCAAATAGACATAAAAAATCCAAATAGAGAATAAACATTCATTTTAAATATATAAAATCTAAAATATAATTAAAATAATATTGAGTTCTAACAAAATGCTTAATTATTATTTTTATAAAAARTTATATTATTAAACCATAAATAAATTATTTTATTATTAAATATAAATTAAATCATAATAAAAAATAGAATTAAAAAAGTTGCATCAAAACAATGAAAACTACTAAATAGTTAATTTGATACTAATTTTGATTTATTTTTCAAGTTTAATTATACTATTTTCAAATTTAAATTTTATTCAAAAATAAAAACATTATCTTTTTTCAAAAGCACATAAATCGTATTATATTGATAAAAACAAAAAGTAAAAAATAAACATTAAAATCAAGATTTACCCCCCTATATTACACAAATATTGTTAGAATTAGTTATTATTTTCTGTTTGTTAGTTTTAAATAGTTAATCTATTTAGTTTCCTTCTTGTATATATAGCTTTTTCCCCTTTTCTTTTCAATATACATAAAATACAGAATTCCTTTCTTTTTTTCTTTTTCTCCCAATTTCTCTCTACTCTCTACTCTCGTCTATCATGGTATCAGAGCTCTACAATCCAATCTGACTTTCTTCTCATTTTTCATTCTTCAATTTCAGTTTCTTCTTCTTCAGATTTGTTCTCGCTACTTTCTTTTTCGTTAGTCCCAATATGACTGATAAACAGACAGATAACGCAAATAAGAACATGAATGCTTCTGCTTATTCGAATCCTTTGTTTCTGAGTCAGAGCAATAATCCTGGAACGATGCTGGTTAGGAAGATCTTCGATGGAAAGAGTTTTGGAGCTTGGAAGCGTGCGATGTCTCTAGCACTTTCTGTCAAGAACAAATTAGGTTTTGTGAATGGGAGAACGAAGAAACCTGCAGAAGATGATCCTACTTATGATGATTGGGAGAGATGCAATTCCATTGTTATTACATAGATTCTCAATGCGATGACTAAAGAAATCTCTGAAGGATTGATATATTACACAACAACAAGCGCTATTTGGAAACAGTTGCACCATATGTTCGAACAATCAATCTGGTTATTGTTTTTCAATTGTAGAAAGAATTGAATCAAATAGCTCAAGGAACTGATTCGATTACCACATATTACTCCAGATTTAAACGAATTTGGGATGAATTTGCAACAATTGATGATTTACCTGATTGCACATGTACTGCAAGAGAAACTTGGATAAAACGCATGGAAAGGCAGCAGTTAGTGCAATATCTTTTTGGTTTAAATGATAGTTACATACAAGTTAGAGGTAATATTCTTCATGAAAAACCTACTCCTAATATTGCTGATGCTTATGCGACATTGATTCAAGAAGAACAACAAAGAAAAGTTACTGCCCCTGTGAAGTTGAATGCTGAAGGAATGGCAATGCTAGCTAATAAATATTATTTTGCACGGGAAAAGGTATTCATGAATGCTGAAACGAAAAGAAACTTTGTTTGTAATTACTGTAAGAAGAAAGGTCATATTAAGGCAGAATGTTATAGATTGATCGGTTTTCCAAAAAGTTTCATGTTTAATAATCCAAGGAGATCTTCTTCCTCTATTAATGTTGTTGAAGGTGTAACACTCTAAAATAAGGGTATTTGAAATAAGTGATATATTGAAGATTAATTATATTTTAACTAATTGAATTAAAATAATAATAATAATAATATATAAATATCTAATGGAATGTTTTTTGGAAATGCTATTCAAGTTTCAAAAAAAAACGTGGGAAGTGATTTTAATGAGAATCAAATAAATTTATTAATTGGTGAAAAAAATTGAGAGTAATGGTTTGGAAAGGTGGCAAGATTTATGGTATGAAGGAGGAATATATATATATATATATATAACCTTCCTTTTTTCAATTGAAAGAGTGTATATATATATATATGTATATGTATTCAGGCTATTCAATAAAGCTTCAAGCCAAGTGAAAAGAAAAAAAAGAAGGGGAACTTGGGAAGGACGAGACTACGAATCGAGGGTGGGAATTCGAGTTCGTAAGCGTTCAATCATCGATAATGTAATACTTTATGTTTAAGATAACATCTTATTTTTATGTAAAAACTTCTTACCGTCTTGATTGGCGGGGTTACTTGGTTGCAATGGCGGCCTAAAGGTTACCGATTAATAGTCATCGCCTTGAACGGCGACGGTTAAACCGACGGTGGTTTAAACCCGATGTCGTATCGTTTTTAGCCTCGATTGAACTATAAAACAAATGTGAGACTCCTTATAATTCTTGATTTAATATTACACTAGTGATTTGAGATTTATATATGTGTTTATCAAGCCGATTAGTTGATCGGGTAATAGATAATTTTCCGATTCAAAATAGAGAACGTAAGGTTAAAAAAAAATCGGAGTCTTAACAATTTGAAACCATGAACAAGGGGTTGTACAATTTGTCGAATACGACAATGTATCGGTCTAGCAAAAAGGTGGTTTAAAATTAATTTAAATTGAATAAATAGATTAAAGTGTTGAAAAAAGATTGATGGCTATCGAAATGCTTTAAATCACTTTACGGAGTTTACATGGCTATAAAGGGTAAATTAATCGACGTTAATGGACTTTCATAATAGGAATAAATTGTTGTATTTGTAGTTATAATAGTTGGCGCAATTTAATTAGGAGTTGGAAATATTATAAAATGTCAAATTGACGTTATAGGACGTTGTAAAACTTAAAGCTTGGGGTTTAACAATATTCGACGTAGGTTAATCGAATTGACTAAGTGGTAACTTCAAAAGTCACTAGGTTTGATCTTATTAACATAGTTTTGACTTTTGGGTCGATTTTTGAAGAAAACCTAGTCATTAATTGATTATTATGGTTTAATAATTAAAGGTTATTAGTTAGGGAGATCATTCGACAATCTACACAGTCAGGTGAGTATTCATGAGATTTTAACTGAGATGCATGCTTATGTATAAATTATTTGAGCATTACGATATTTTTTATGTACATGTTTATGGGTTTATTACATGTATATGAATTATTATTGTGGGTTGCATGCTATATGTTTACATGTTTTTAAACATTAATTAGCATGTTATAAAAGAGTTAATATTTTTGTCAGGTATGGGAAGGGATCAAAAGTCATAAGGGATGACACATCCTAAGGATGGGTGACCGGACAAGGGATAGCCGTGTAACCAGGGAAGTGCCGATGACGCTAACATCTTAACCCGACGGAAAATTAAGAGATATCATTATTATTTCAAAAGGGTTTGAAACAAATGTGCATGTTATTTTATTTGGGTTATTGTTTATTTTATGCATGATGAGATATGTATGATTGTGCATTAAAACCATGAACTCACCGAGCTTTATAAAGATGACTATTAGTATGCATCTCAGGAGCTGGGTGTTCAAGAACGGGAAAAGGTAAAGGTTCTGCGTAGGAAATAGAACTATTATCCGAGTTATATATTATAAAATCCTTAGTATTTTAATTGAATTTATATGTAATGTAACCGATATGGGATGTGTTAGTTTTGAGATATTAATTACGATTAAATTATTGTAAGACTTCCGCTGCAATAAGGCTTTATTAGTCACTAGATTTTTGATTTTTTGTTATTATTATATTTTATTATGTGGAACCTTGTATTTGAAATGAAGGTGTTACAAGTTGGTATCAGAGCCATTAGTTTAAGAGAAATAGGTATTAAACTTGTGAGGTGTTTAGTATCACTATATATGTTACAATTAAGTTTGTTTTATTAATGTGTGACTTAGTGTTTTCCTTGTGGTTTTGTAGGAAGATGGTGCACACTATACACACTAGGTCTGTTAATCGTGGGAGAGGACGTGGGGGTAAAACTGTAGGACGGAGGGTACCATTCGGACTAGGCCCGCATTGTGAGAGTATTGATAGTCGTCACACCAGTATGGCTCCCAGTTGGAACCGCATACCCAGGGGTGACAATCCAACATCTCTAGGGAGTAACCTAACTCAGGGTTCATTTCAAGGGACACCTGTGGTAGCGCAGCCTCCCACATGCACCAACTTGGAGGAAAGGATAGAATCTCTGTAAAGAGAGAAAACTGAGTTGTGGAATAAGTTGGTCTACCTCAAGTGGGACAATGATAGGGCTAGGGGAATGATCGAAAACCTACAACGGGCACAAATAAGGCTGATAACAGAAAAGGCTAGGTTTGCTATTTATCAGGGGGCAACTGAGCAAAGAAAGATAGATCGATTTAAGGATGGCCTAAGGATAGAGATAAAGCAGTATGTGGATATGGTTAAACCAACCACGTTTGTTCAAGCTGTGGAAATGGCGACTGTTGCGATGGAAAATAACATCAAGGCAACTAGGGAGAGAAGGGAGGTCAAAAGGAAATGGGAAGCATCAAGTAAATTGACAAAGAAATCCAAGGGGGAGATGACAGATATGAAGGCACGAAATGGAGAGTTCACAATTTCTCAGTGCACCAAATGCAATCGAAGACATAAGGGTGAATGTTGGGCAGCAAAAGTGACATGTTTTCGATGCGGAAAACTCGGGCACACATCAAGGGAGTGTACTGAAAGCAAACTTTGCTATGATTGTGGGGAATCAGGTCATATACGGTCTGAATGTCCTAAAATCCAAAAGGGGACCATAAGCAATGTTAGAGTTTCAGGTAACGGGTCAGGAAGAGGGGGGAAAGAAGGAACTACCTAAAGGACCAGAACGAGCATACAACATGACTTTGGAGGAGGCTAGGGAGTCTCCTGACGTCGTATCGGGTATGTTTCTTGTAAACAATGTTTATGCTCATGTACTGTTTGATTCGGGTGCAAATGGTAGTTTCGTCTCTTCTACTTTCCGCCACTATTTGAATAAGGATGCTTGTAGACTAGGRAAGAGCTATACTGTAGAAACCGCTGACGGCAGTCAAGTTAAAATAGATGAAATAGTTTATGGGTGCACGATCTGTATAGATGGTAGAGAATTGTGTGTTAGGTTAATGCCTATGTGTTTAGGAGGTTTTGATGTGGTTCTAGGAATGGACTGGTTATCCGAAAACCAAGCACAAATAGTGTGCCACCAAAAAGATGATCAAAATTCAAACCCTCGAAGGGCAAACAATTCATGTGTATGGCGATCGTAGGAAGTGTGGTACAAGGATCATCACAAAACTAAAAGCGAGAAGGTGCCTTCAGAAAGGGTGCACTGCTTATATAGTGTATGCGGTCGACGCTAAGTTAGAAAAGGGAACGATACAAGGGGTACCAGTGGTGAACGAGTATCCAGAAGTTTTCCCGGATGAACTACCAGGACTACCACCAGAACGTCAAGTTGAGTTTCGTATTGACTTAGTGTCAGGTGTGGCTCCTGTTGCACGAGCACCTTATCGGTTATCCCCAACAGAGATGCAAGAGTTGATGAAACAACTTCCAGAGTTGTTAAACAAAGGATTTATCAGACCAAGTTCATCGCCATGGGGAGCGCCAATCCTATTTGTAAAGAAGAAAGATGGCTCAATGCGAATGTGCACTGATTATCACGAGCTTAACAAGCTCACGATCAAGAATAGATACCTGTTGCCAAGAATTGATGACTTATTTGATCAGTTACAAGGAGCTAGCCACTTCTCGAAGATTGATTTAAGATCAGGTTACCACCAGTTGAAAGTCCGAGAAGAAGATGTGCCAAAAACTGCTTTTAGAACTCGATATGGTCATTACAAGTTTATAGTAATGCCCTTTGGACTGACATGCTCCAGCAGCATTCATGGACCTGATGAATAGAGTATGTAGGCTGTATCTGGACAAGTTTGTCATCGTCTTCATCGACGACATTCTTATTTATTCGAAAAGAGAAAAAGAACATGAAAAACATTTAAGAACTATTCTAGAACTACTGATAAGAGAGAAGTTGTATGCCAAATTCTCGAAATGTGAATTCTGGTTGCGAGAAGTGCAACTCGGAAGGAATTAAGGTGGATCCGGCAAAGATAGAGACCGTCATGGATTGGGAGTGCCAAAATCTGCATCCAAAATTTGAAGTTTTCTGAGTCTAGCAGGCTATTACCGAAGGTTTATCAAGGACTTTTCCAAAATAGCAATGCCTATGACCAATTTGACAAAGAAGTCAATTAAGTTTGATTGGGGAGAAAAACAAGAAGAAGCTTTCCGAACCCTCAAGACCAAGTTGAGTAGCGCGCCAGTCCTTGCCTTACCGGAAGAAACAGAAGACTTTGTTGTTTATAGTAACGCCTCTAAGATGGGTCTGGGTTGTGTATTGATGCAACGAGGCAAGGTTATTGCTTATGCATCACGACAATTAAAGGAGAACGAGAAGAAGTACCCAACCCATGATATGGAATTAGGTGCAGTAGTATACGCGCTGAAGATTTGGCGACAATACTTGTATGGTACAAAATGTATGATATATTCGGATCATAAGAGCCTGAAATATCTTTTTGATCAGAAGGAACTGAATATGAGGCAAAGAATATGGATGTAACTCCTCAAGGATTACGATTGTGAAATCCAGTACCATCCCGGCAAAGCAAACGTAGTGGCCGACGCTTTAAGTAGGAAGGAAATGGTCGAGCCTATTCGAGTGCGGGGCATGTGGATGAGCATAAAGGTAGATATGGTAGATCAAATACGAGATGCTCAAAAGGAAGCCTTGATTGAAGCAAACATTAAGAAGGAAAGGATGGTTGGGCAAATTAAGTCACTGACCGTCGGGTCAGATTGAATACACAGATTTGGGAATCGAGTGTGGATTCCTAACTTAGGTGATTTGAGAGGCAAGGTACTAGATGAGACACATAAGTCTAAGTACACTATGCACTCGAGTAGCGATAAAATGTACAAGAATTTGAAGGAGAGCTACTGGTGGCCGGGTATGAAGAAGTCAGTAGCTGGGTATGTGGAGAAGTGTTTGACTTGCCTACAAGTGAAGATAGAACACTAGAAAACATCAAAAATGTTACAACAAATGGAAATACCAGTGTGGAAGTGGGATATAATAACAGTAGACTTTGTTACCAAGCTACCAAAGACGATGAAAGGACATGATGCAATCTGGGTGATTGTTGATCGATTGACGAAGTCCGCTCACTTCCTACCGATCAGTGAAAAATATACATCAGAGAAGTTCGCTCAACTATATGTCAATGAGATTGTGTCAAGGCATGGTGTGCCGATATCAATTGTCTCAGACAGGGATGCCAAATTTACATCTAGATTTTGGTCAAGCTTCCAACAAGATATGGGACTCGATTGAATTTAAGCACCGCCTACCACCCACAAACTGATGGTCAAAGTGAAGGACGATATAAACACTTGAAGATATGATAAGGGCATGCACTATCGATTTTGGGGGTAGTTGGGACAACCACTTACCATTAATAGAGTTCGCATACAACAATAGTTATCATTTGAGCATTAAGAAAGCACCTTTCGAAGCCCTACACGGTTGAAAGTGCAGAACACCTATGTGTTGGGCGGACATCGAAGAAAGGTTGAGGATCGCGCAAGACAGACAGAGTTAGTTCAACAAACGTCAGATAAGATAGCACAAATCCGAGAAAGGTTGAGGATCGTACAAGACAGACAGAAAAGCTATGCGGATAAAAGGCGTGGGCCTCTAGAGTTTCAAGTTATGGATCCAGTGATGTTAAAAATATCACCATGGAAGGGAGTAGTTCGTTTTGGTAAACGTAGAAAGCTAAGTCCAAGATATGTTGGACCATTCAAGATCATAGGATGGGTGGGGGCAGTGGCATATCGTTTGAAGTTGCCTGAAGAATTACAAGGGATTCATGACACATTCCATGTGTCAAATTTAAGGAAATACTTAGCTGACGAATCAGCGACTCTAGCATTAAAGATGTGAAGATCAATCAAAAATTGGGTTACATCGAAGAACCAATTTAAGTCTTGGATAGAAAGACAAAGAGGTTAGGAAACAAGACCATTCCATTGGTCCTTGTAAAGTGGAAATTTCACAAGGGGTCAGAGATGACGTGGGAACTGGAGAGGGATATAAGAGCCAAGTACCCACATCTGTTCAACGATGAGTGATTTCGGGGACGAAATTCTATTTTTAGGAGGGGAGAGTTGTAACACTCTAAAATAAGGTATTTGAAATAAGTGATATATTGAAGATTAATTATATTTTAACTAATTGAATTAAAAACAATAATAATATAAAAATATCTAATGGAACGTTTTTTGGGAAATGCCATTCAAATTTCAAAAAAAAACGTGGGAAGTGATTTTAATGAGAATCAAATAAATTTATTAATTGGTGAAAAAATTTGAGAGTAATGGTTTGGAAAGGTGGCAAGATTTATGGTATGAAGGAAGAATATATATATTCTCTCTATATATATAACCTTCCTTTTTTTTCAATTGAGAGAGTATATATATATATATATATATATATATATATATATATATGTATGTATTCAATCTATTCTATAAAGTTTCAAGCCAAGTGAAAAGAAAAAAAAAGGGAACTTGGGAAGGACGAGACTACGAATCGAGGGTGGGAATTCGAGTTCGTAAGCGTTCAAGCATCGATAAGGTAATACTTTATGTTTAAGATAACATCTTATTTTTATGTAAAAACTTCTTAACGACTTGATTGGCGGGGTTACTTGGTTGCAATGGCGGCCTAAAGGTTACCGATTAATAGTCATCGCCTTGAACGGCGACGGTTAAAGCGACGGTGGTTTAAACCCGATGTCGTATCGTTTTTAGCCTCGATTGAACTATAAAACAAATGTGAGACTCCTTATAATTCTTGATTTAATATTACACTAGTGATTTGAGATTTATATACATGTTTATCAAGCCGATTTGTTGATCGGGTAATAGATAATTTTCTGATTCAAAATAGAGAACGTACGGTAAAAAATAATAATATTCGGAGTCTTAACGATTTGAAACCATGAACAAGGGGTTGTACAATTTGTCGAATACGACAATGCATCGGTCTAGCAAAAAGGTGGTTTAAAATTAATTTAAATTGAATAAATAGATTAAAGTGTTGCAAAAGGATTGATGACTATCGAAATGCTTTAAATCACTTTACGGAGTTTACATGGCTATAAAGGGTAAATTAATTGACGTTAATGGACTTTCATAATAGGAATAAAGTGTCGTATTTGTAGTTATAATAGTTGGCGCAATTTAATTAGGAGTTGGAAATATTATAAAATGTCAAATTGACGTTATAGAACGTTGTAAAACTTAAAGCTTGGGGTTTAACAATATTTGACATAGGTTAATCGAATTGACTAAATGGTAACTTCAAAAGTCACTAGGTTTGATCTTATTAACATAGTTTTGATTTTTGGGTCGATTTTTGAAGAAAACCTAGTCATTAATTGACTATTATGGTTTAATAATTGTAGATTATTAGTCAGGAAGATCATTCCACAATCTACACAGTCAGGTGAGTATTCATGAGACTTTAACTGGGATGCATGCTTATGTACAAATTATTTAAGCATTATGATATTTTTTATATACATATTTATGGGTTTATTACATGTATATGAATTATTATTGTGGGTTGCATGCTATATGTTTACATGTTTTTTAAAGATTAATTAGCATGTTATAAAAGAATTAATATTTTTGTCGGGTATGAGGAGGGGTCAAAAGTCATAAGGGATTATACATCCTAGGGATGGGTGACCGGACAAGAGATAGCCG